AGGAGCCAAGGCACCAAGGCTTTATCGCGACTACAATTTTTTCCACCCATTACATCATCATCGTTATTTTTATTTTTGTTGTTGTTTTTGGTGGTGGCGTTTGGGACTCGTGATGCTGTGTACCGTTCCAAGCCGCTGATGGAGGGCCTCTCAAATCAACGGGCGCCTCGGCACGGCTGGCACGGCTGGCGACCATAATCGCGTCAATGCGGAATAATTAAATGTATTGATTGGGGCATCGAGGGCGGCCCAGGTAAACGGACACCGTCACATCATAATTATTCTTGTTGTTTTTGTTGGTTTTGCAATTACGGGCCGTTAAAGGCGCCGCCGGCCGCAGGCTTGTTAATTCCCACGACTCGTGCGGTAAAACGCTCGGCCGGGCGGAAAGCACGGAAGCGAGCCTGCATGCGCACCCGTTTAGGCCGACGTATACGCAGCACGCAGCGCGCCGGTTGCGTTTCGAGCCATTTGTCTCCAAGACTCGAATCGAACCCAATCGAACGCATGGGGGCATACATGGATTCCTCGTTCGAAGGGCAATCTATTGGTACTCGCCCATAATCTCCATTCAAACACTGTTAAAAAAATTGAAAACAAAATTGCCCACTATTTTGGGAAAAGCCCAAAATCTCCAATGAGTCCCCGGCAAGGGTATGTTCATCTAAAATAAGTAAAAATAGAAACCTGACGGCGTTTCGGAGCGCAGTTTCTAGAATTTCGAAATTTATTGTTAACTGTGAACCCAAGGTCTGGCCTTGCTGCTAACTTTGGGGCAGCAAAAAACAAATTGCAACCGTGACGCGGGACGCCAATGAAGGGGGCCTCGGTGCGGTGGCTAGGCTAGGCTAGGCTTGGCGGAAGCGGTGGGCGGGGCGAGGACGCCCCGAGTGGTCACGCCCAGACCTGCCTGCTGCCTGCCTGCTTGCCTGTCTGCCTGCCTGCCTGCCCGGCTGCCCGGCTCGCGAGCAAACTCATCGATCCGTCAAACAAAGACGCTTAAATAGAAAGGCAGCGCCTTGGAGCGCGGCAACACACGTACCGTGCACCGCGCCGGCCGGCCAGCCGACACCGAGCACTTGCCCCGTGTTGTCGAACACGTTAATCGGCACCGAGCGCTGTAAAGGGTTTCCGCAAAGAAAACAGGGGAAAGAAGGGGAGAAAAATAAAATGAAAACAGACGAAGGAGAGGGCGCGCCGCGACGCGCACGTCCGCGGTGGCCGAGGGCCTCCAAATTGAGTCTCTGTTGTTCCAGCGCGTCGTTAAGTGATTGAGCAGGCTGTACGTTTGTGGACAGGGCCGTCGAGGGCGGTGCGAGCGGGACGCGGCGACACGGCCGAGAGAGGCAGCGGCCTGCCTGCAGGCTCGCTGTCTCTCTCGCACCCCCTGACACGCGGGACGCCGTGTGAGAGGGACAGCGCGAGGTGCAGAAGTCGCTAAGCTGGCCGCCTCGACGCACAGTAGGCTGGAAGACCGGGGTCGGCGGCCAAAACTCTAGACGCGTTTTGAGCTCCAGAGTCGCCAAACAGGACTCGAACCGAACGTGTGACCCCACCAATGGACTCCTCGTTCGGAGACAAATCCATTGGTGGGGTCACACGATCGGTTCGAGTTTTGTTTAGCGACTCTGGAGCTCAAAACGCGGTCAGAGTCAGAGAGTCCCCCACCGTTCTTCTGGCCCACTGTGCGACGGTTTCAGACTCGGCCACCTTGGCCACGTGTACCTGCGTTGTCGGCCTCCTCGCGGCTGGCCGTGCTGGCCGTGCTGGCGCAGGCCCTGGGGATCTGGCCCCATCGGTCGATGTTAATCGCCGCCACCGCGGTGACCCAGGCGTCCAGGCAGGCCTCCAGGCCACAGCGTGGTAATTGGCCAATGGCTCGCAAATCAACCCACTCGGCGAGCGGCGCGCGACCGGCATGCGACCGCCATCCATCTCGCTTCTCCCTCGCACGCCGCCAGCCCCGATCCGCCTCTGCGTTTGTCCAGGGCTGTCCGCCTCGTTTCCAAACGATTACCGTCACACCAGCTCGTCACGCCGCCTCGTCACGCGTCACGCGCGCGGCACGCAGATCGCATGGCCGCAATTAGGAAGGACGAACGTGGCGTTATAGAGTGGCCACCCGGCGGCCTGGCGCTATAGAGTGGCCGACCGGCGCGGCGCGTCTCCGAGAGTGTCGCTTGTCGCTCACTTATAAATGGGTTAAACAGTTTGTCCCGGGGAGAAAGGCCACCGAGTGTTTCCCCGTGGTCCCGCAAAGGCTACAAAGAGCAGGGGCTGCAGAGGCTTCCGGCGTCCCTCGGGAGCGCCCGCCCTTTTTTCGCAGAGGCCCCTTTCCCTTCCCCCTCCCCCTCCCCCTCCGCTGCCATCCCTTCTCATCTCGTCCCCGGGCCGGGCTGTGCCGGGCTGTGCCGGGCTGTGCCGGGCCTCATTCTCCCTGGGTCCCTGGCGTGTGTCTACAGAATCAGCTAGGGGCTCTTAGTGCCCCGTTTGTGTGGTGCGCCTGCTGTGCCTGGCCGTGCATTCGTGTGTGTGTGTGTGTGTGTGTTCGCGCACACGAGGTTGACGGGTAGGGCATAGCCGAGTAGCGCTTGCCACGCGCGGAAGAACGCAAATCTGGCAACAGGGAGGAGGACACATTTGCACCGCACCAGTGGAGATCAAAGCGTTACTACACACGCACCCACACAGTGACGCACACACACACACACACGCTGGTGCGCCTTCAATAGCGTGCAGCAGCGCGCAGACACACGGGTTATTGTGGCCCGACTTGTTCGTGTTTGGAAACCGAAAAGGAAAACGGATCCTGCGCGGGTGCCTTCGCCTTCGCTTCGGTCCCTCGCGGTCGGTCGCGCGCGGTCGCGGTGCCTCGCTGACGAGCTGCCTCCACAGGCTGGAGTCGGTAATAAGCCACTCGCCCCGCAGCGCTGCCTCTGCCGGGGCCTCGCTCCCGCGCCCGCCCTGTCTCTCTCGCGCCCACACGGGACGCCCGCCCATGAGTGAGACGCCATCCGTCTCCCGCTCCGCGCGCTCCCCCACGGCAAGACAAGCAGCAGGTGGGGTTCAAATAATGCAGTCGTCTCCGACGCAAAAAAGAAGAGGGGGGAAAATGAAGAAAAAGAAGGGAGAAAGCTCTGCTACTTAAATGGGAAAGCAGACTGCTTTAAAGGTCCGCGCCGCTTCTCCACGGCGAGGCGCGGTCTGGGCCACCCGGGCGGAACGGGGGGCGGAACCAGGGCGTGCAGGGAGAGGGGTGCACACCGCGAGGGGCCGCAGGGCGGCGGTGCGGAGCGCGGCGTGGCTTGGCGTGGAGCGCCTACCTTAGAGTAAACAGGTCGTTATATTCCGGGGGCGTTTCTTTTCTGCACGGTGTGGTGGCGTCGCGCCGCGCCGAGGACGTCGTCGAGACCGTCGTCGTCCACGTGAGCCCCTTGCCCGCGCCCCGATCCGCCACGTCACCGAGCCGTGTCCCGCAACGGCAACAATCTGCGGCGCGGCCCGAGAACCCTTCTCCCTTGACGCGCGCTCTCTCTCTCTCTCTCTCTCTCTCTCTCTCTCTCTCTCTCTCTCTCTCTCTCTCTCTCTCTCTCTCTCTCTCTCTCTCTCTCTCTCTCCCGCACGCCCACACACGGTCCGCGAGTGGGACCGGAATAAAAACTGAGGGGGAGATTGAGGGAGAATAACACGGTTTTCTCCTTTGCCGTCTCCTGATGTGTCTTCTCCTCCTCGCCGGGGTCCGCTGTGTCATCACATTTCATTTTACTCGGCGTCACGCCGTGAAAAGCCCCGCGCCCCGCGCCCCCCCCCCCGCACCCCGCCGCGCGCCGCCACGACGTAAACTCGGCCCGGCTTTTCAGCACAAATTTACATACGGTCCCCCCGGGAAGGCACACGTCGGGCAGGGCCGGGCACCGGGCAGAACGCCGGGCCGGCATGCGTGGAGGGCAACAACAGGAGGGGGAGAGGAGGGGGGCTAGGAAATGGATCTATTTCCCCGCGGTGGCTAAGGACCGGAGTCTGCGGCTCTGGAGCGCTCCGGGGCCACGCCTTGGGCCACGCGGGTCCGCGGCGGACAGTCCACGCGGGCCCGCGTGGTGCTTGTGTGGGACCGACTTGGCGCTGCTCGGAGTGACCCTGCACGCCGGCCAGGTGGCTGGCTGCCTGGCCGACTTGGCGGCGCGTCGGCACCGCAGACGCCCGGCCGCCTTGCTGATGAACGAGGCCAGCAGGGCCAGCAGGCTCGCGGAGCAGGCCGACGAGGGCCTCGCCCTGATGGATGGGCCGCGGGCCGCACGGCCTGGCGCCGCGGCGCCGCGTGATAGAGTGCCACAGCGCAATGCGCGCCGCCCTGCTCGGGGCCCCCCGGCCTTGCTGCGCTGCCGCCACGCCACGCGCGCGTCGACGGCCAGGGGCCGAGCACGCAGCGACACGCCGGCCGCCCTCGCCGACGACAGCGACGGCCAGCGACGGCCCCGACGCGGCGCCGCGGAAAACTTTGGCGGGCGGCAGATGTGACCCGGTCTGCTCCGGGGGGTGGCTGCCCGCCACTGCCAGCTGGGCGTGGGCATCCAGTGTCCGAACAAGGTCGCAATCGCATCACCATCGCCCGCTTTAATGCAGCTGTGGAAGTTGGGGCGGCAGCGACGCGCCGCAGAATGGGCTCCAGCCCTCCCCCTCCCCTCACACACGGGTCTAATCACTGCAATTAATCGAGGCACGGCCAGTGCAAATACTATTACCACGGCGACAAACGATCCAGGCCACTGCAAGCCACCGCCGCAGGCGAATGAAGAATATTTCCGCTGATTTGCGCAGACCAATTATTTCCCGCCCGCGGCCCTGTGGATGGGATTGTTCGCGGAGGGCGGGCAACGCGCGGCAGCAAGGAGGAGGCCGTGTTCGGTACGGTTTCCATTTCCATTTTCCATTTTTAACGAGTTAATGAATTGCTTTGATGGAGTTGATGAATTGATCGGGCTGCCGTCTTCGTCCCCTACCTTTGATGAAGTCGACCGCCATCTCCAGGCCGTAGGTGTCCTTGTCGCAGTCGTCCAGGATGTGCGCGCCCAGGGTGATGCCGGGCAGGAGGTCGGGGTCCCCGTTGATGACGTCCAGCGTGTAGAGCATGGCCTCGAGCGCCTGCACGCCGCCCTGCGGCATGATGGGCCCGCACACCACGCTGTCCTCCCGCTCGTGGACCATCATGAGCCCGCCCAGCACCAGGTCGCCCTCCACCACGGCCTCCTTCTTCACGGGCCAGTGCAGGCCGCCGCCCGCCGCGCCGCCGCCGTGCGTGTGGTTCTCGGAGTGGACGCCGTTCACGTCGTTGGTGCCCAGGAGGTCCTGCTGGTCTTCGCCGTGGTGGTGGCGGTGTTTGTGCGGTTGCCTGCTGCTGCAGGATGCGGATCGTGTTGGGGTCGTCGTCGGCCGCCTCGGCGGGCCACAGTGGCGGCCCGGCGCGCCGCGGCAGCAGGCCGTCGAGGAAGTCATGGTCGACGGCGACCTCGCGGTGCCGCTGGTGCCGGTGGTGGCGGTGCCTGTGCCGGCCGCCGACCGCGGACAGCGCCGCCAAGATGGTGACCGCCGCGCCCGCCCACAACATGGCGTCACAGCGCCGTCATCATCGTCAACGTCGTCATCGTCGTCATCATCCGCCGTCGGCACGCCCCGAGTGTCCGCCAGCCGTCGGGACGTGCCGGGGCAGCACGCAGCGCGCGGGGCGGACTAGGCCGGACGGGCCGGGCCGAGGCGGGCCGACCGGGGCCCAGCCCGCTGCGCTACGCTGCGCGCGGCGGGGCCGAAGCCGAAGCCGATTTCGAGGCAGCGGCGTAGTGGGGTAGTGCGGCGAGCCGTCCCTGGGAGGTGTGATCAGAGAGCAAGCCGACGGTCTACTGGCAGCGCTCGCGCCTCGAGCCTCGCAGGCCTCGCAGTCCCTCACCGGCTGCGCGCAGCGCGCTGCGCCCGCCACCCCCCAACGTCGCCCCACCCCCACCCGCCGCCGCGCCACGCTCTGCGCTGTTGCAGCGGCTGCTGGCTGGCCCTCTGCCCCTGGCTGGCCTGGCTGCCCCCGGCCCGTCACACTAGAGCAACAAGGAGCAAGCGGCCCCGGTTTGCCGCCCTGCGCTTTTAAATTTTTCATACAAGCTACTTGGGGAGTGATTTATTCCAAGAGGCAGGAAGAAAGTGGGCCAAGAAAAATAAATCCGCCGTAGCAGCGCCAACCTAGTTCCCACAAAAAAAGTAAAAGAAGACGCCAGTTGGCGGAACAACTGCGATTTAGTATGAATAAAAAGTTTACAACAATCGCCCACGTAAATCCTGCTACTTCTTTCCTGCAGGAAGTGGGCGATTTTCTCTGCCGGACTCTCCCGTGGCTTCATCAGGGCCTTCATCAGCCTGGTCGAGAGGGGTGGAGAGAGAGAGAGAGAGAGAGAGAGAGAGAGAGAGAGAGAGAGAGAGAGAGAGAGAGAGAGAGAGAGAGAGAGGCGCTCCCGGCCAAGCCAGGCCCCGAAGGACCGCATTCTTGCCGCTCCGGCCACCTAGGTGCTCAGGCGCGGGGGCGTTGGGGGCGAAAGGGGCATGGGGGGGGGGGGGGGGGAGAGCGTGGGGCCTCATTTCCGAAGAGGGCGGAGCGACGCCTGTTTGCCGGAATGCCGTGCTGGCGGTGCTGACGGGGACGCCCTTGCTCGCCTGTCGAGCGATTCCACCAACCACCGCACTGTCTCTCTCGCACCCACGGAGCCCGCCGCAGGGGAGCGAGAGAGACAGAGCGAAGCCGCCGGGATTCTGGCGCGATGTCACGATTGTGGCGGCGGTGCGCGGTACGTCACGACACAAGAGGCGAGGCCGCCTGCGGCCATACAGTAAAAACATCCCATCTCAAGTGCGGCCAGAGAACAAGTTGCTGCTGTTGTTCCAAGTCGGGCACTGAGCGCGGGGGCGGGGCGGGGGCGGAGGCGGGGGTGGGGCGGCCTGCGGTGGTAGAGGGTCCCGCGGGGCCAGTGGGCCGGGAAGAACATGCAAGCGGGGCCGCGGGGAGGAGGAGCGCGAGGGAGGGGCAGGGGATTCCAGCACGCCGTGCCGTGCCGCGCCACGCCGTGCGGTTAGACGTAGAGCACCTGTTGAAGTGATGCTTTAATGGGCCGGGGGCTCTGCGGGCTGCGGTCTGCTGCGAATAAACGATTCCCGCGCGCCGTGCCGCCGTGCCGCGCAGCGCGCCAGCGTGGCGGCAGCATGGCGCCAGGCAAGCCCGCCGTGCCGCCGTGCAAATCGGCAACTTCCGGCCGCGGGGCGGGGCGGGGCGGGGCGTGCGTGCCGCTCGATTACGCCACGCCGTCGAGCACGTGGCCGTGGGGCGAGTCGCGTGCCGAGCCGACAATCAATCCGAAATAATAAAGCAGCCGACGCGCCAATTTGCAGAGCGGCGCCTGCACGCTCATTCCCTCATTCATTCCCGAAACGCCCCGTCGCTTCGCACTTATGGGGCGGTCAAAGCGGTCCCCGGCGGAGCGAGAGAGACAGGGCAAGCGGGTAGGCGGCCAATCGAGCGCGCGAGGTGCCGCGAGGCCACGTCCCCCGGGGCGGTAGGACCGCCAGCACCAGCAGCAGGGCCAGGAGCGGTGCTCATAGGTTGTACGACCTTTTTTTTGTCCGACCTAGCCGAATTAAAGGGAGAGCAGCGAGGCGGTAGGGAGACACAACTCAATGACGGCACGGCACGCCAAAAGAAAGCCCTCGAGCGCCGCCAGGCCGCCAGCTCGGTCTGCGCGAAGCCTGGAGCGCGGTGGCCGGCGGCCTTATCTGAACAATGCCCCCCTCCCCCTCACTGGAATCCCCTCTTTACCGTACTATGGCGAGTGACGAAGAAAAAATACAACGTCTTAGCTGCGTCAAGAGAAGCGGATTTTCTGTCCTTTCAGATTTTAATGACATTCCCTTTAAAATTGGAAGGAAAATGGCCGCGCGACGTCTGACTGAAGAAACCAAAAGCCGGGGCCCGGGTCCGCTTGCCGCTTTCACAGCCCCGGGACGTCTGGGACGTCTGGGACGCCGCCCTCTGCTCGGTGGGCAAGGCGGCAAGGCGGGGCCCGCCTGGCGGGCTGAGTCAGCGAGGACATGGTTCGGCCCTGGCTCGGCCAGACGGTACGGCCAGGGCTACGAGGAGCATGGCCAACCATAAAGCATCGCCTGCCGGCCCGCCAGCCCGCCGGCCTGCCTGCCCGCTGGCCTGCTTGGGGTCTGGCCGGACCAGCAGACCGACCAATCACAACTGCCCGTGATTGCCGATCGAATAACAGACCGGCTCGGTAAATCCCGCAGCTTCGCGCGGCTTCGGCTTCGAGTTGACAGCAGTAGAGAGCGAAGACCCCAGCAGGGCGGGGCCAAGCAGGGCCCTGCCAAATATTTCAGCTCGTGTGGCAGCTCAACGCGGAGCTCTGGCCTTCCGAACCACATGAAATTTTCGTTTCGTCTTCTCATTTTTGTTGTTGTTGCTTTCGTTTTGACGTGGAGGCTGACGACGCCACACCAGAAGCTCCTCGCTGACCACAACAAGTTGGCGCGGCGGCTCGAGTTCTTCGCCGGCAAGTTGCCCGGGCCAGTCGGGCCAGTCGGTCTGGCGGGCTGGCGCGGCCGGCGGGAGGGAAGAGGGCGGCAAGAGGGAGTAGTTTGACTTGAAACCTTGTTAGTATGAGACTAAAGCCGGACGGCTCAGCGGGGCTCAGCGCAGTGGGCCCTGCAGACTGATTCCGAGAGTCGTTTTCGTCGCTCTGCCTCTCTCGCACTCATGGCGCGACCCGGAAAGGCGCGAGCGAGACAGAGCGACGAAGACGACTCTCGGCATCAGTCTGCTGGCGAGCCACCCGCCACGCGTCTCTGGGGGAGTTTCGGAAGAATAGCAGCGCAGTGCCGGCAGTGCCTCTCGCGGGCCCGGCCGCCCAGACAACAACACAAATTTAATTACGTAACAACAGGTTGGCATAACCGGGGCTGGCTCGGCAGGGCTCCGACCAAATTCCCGGACGAGCAACAACAACTTTTATCTGCGGGGCCGCGGCCACGCCTTGGCCACGCCCAGGAAAACAAAGTTGCAAGACGAGTTTCTCGTGGTGCTTCATGAGGACGAGGACGCCGACGGAGTCTGCGTGTCGCTCGCGCTGCCCCACTGCCAAGGGTGGATCCAGGCTCGGGTTTGGGAGGGGGGGGGATGCACAGTGAGCCAGAAGACCGGTGGAGGCTACCACAACGGCCAAACGCGTTTTGAGCTCTAGAGTCCCCAGTTGGGACTCGAACCGAACCGTAACGCGTAACCCTACCAATGGAGTCCTCGCGTTCGCAGAGCAATCCATTGGTGGGGTCACACGTTCGGTTCGAGTCCTGTTTAGCGACTCTCGACCTCGAAACGCGTCTAGAATTTTGTCCGCCTCCACCGGTCTTCTGGCCCACCGTGCGGCCGCCCCCTGGGCCCTGCACGCGATCGCCGAGGAGGGCGGCGCGCCGCGGCGTGCGCTTTGAGCGCGGAATGGACGCACCGGGACAGCCCTCTGCTCGGCTGAGCGAGGCCCGCCCTGCCGGATGAGGCCGCGTACAGGGCGCCCTTCCGGCGGGCCTAATTATACCTCCGCGGCCTCTCCGCAGAGCGTTTCCGACCATAGCGCCCCATCGCTCTGTCTCTCTCTCCACATCCAGACTCCCCGTGAGTGCGAGAGAGACACCGCGACGACTCCCAAATCATGATGGGCCTCCGGTTCAGCACCACGGGGGCGCGCAGTGGCGTGACGCGTGATCCGATTGTGGCGGCCGAGCGGCCCTAACGAGCGCGCTGTTATAGAACCGATGGGATGCAAGAAGAAGGAGGAGAAGAAGAAGAAGAAGAAGAAGAAAAGAAGAAGAAGAAGAAGAAGAAGAAGAAGAAGAAGAAGAAGAAGAAGAAGAAGAAGAAGAAGAAGAAGAAGAAGAAGATCCCCCTCTTCCTCCTCCTCCTCCTCCACGCCGAGGAGGCGAAGGACTCTGCTGCGCACGGGCGCCACGGCCGCGGAGGGCCGCGCACCGCGTCGTCATGAATAAACAGCGCTCAATCACGTTTTTGCACCTCAATATTCATGAAAGGGAAAAGTTTGCAAAACGCATGTCGGGCCGAATACGGCCGCCGATCCGCCCAAGTGACGCGCAGCGCGCACACCGGTGCAATTTCAATAAGGGGAGGCACGGGGATGGGGCGACTTGGTGAAGGGGGGAGGAGAGGAAAGGAGAGAGAGAGAGAGAGAGAGAGAGAGAGAGAGAGAGAGAGAGAGAGAGAGAGAGAGAGAGAAAGAGAGAGTGAGCTAGAGAGAAGAGGCTGGCAGTGATGGAAAGGGGTCCCCCACGGCCCCCACGGCAGGGGCCCCGCTACGCCGCTACGCCAACAGCGCAGCTGGAAGCTGGACCGGTAAGGAGCGCGGTTCCTGGAAAACTGCGGCGCCGGAAACAATCACCCACCGGCGCCATCCCCCAATGGACCTTGTTTCTCTCTCACACACTAGCTTTCAATCTCTCTCCGTCTCTCTCCACCTCACTGGCAGTGCAGCGCCGCCGAGAGCGCCGCCGTTCGCCGCGCCGTCTCGCAAACAAAGTGACCGAATCCCACGGCGATGCATTCAAACCGAATCTAATGAAGGCGGCGAATGCCAGCGACGGAAAAGTCTGAGGCGTGGAGGTACGGCAAAGCTGGGGGGAAGGGGGGGGGGAACTGGCGGGACTGGGCCGGGGGACAGAGACACAGACAACCGCAAGGCCCGGCAGACGTCTTTGTCCTCCGCGCGCCGCATTCACAAAACACCCCCCACAACATTTAGGGCCACCCGCAGTCTGGGTCCCGATTGTTGGACTCGGACTCTCTCTCTCTCTCACACACACACGCACACACGCGCGCACGCACACACACACACACACACACACACGCGCACACACGCGGCCTCACGGCCACAGCCGCGCAGAAGAGGGAACCGGGGGAACCACAGCAGCAGCCCCGCAGTGTCCCTCCTGCTCTACTCGGCCTGGAACCCCCCCCCCCAAACACACACACACACACACACACACACACGCACACAGTACCACACACACACACACACACACACACGCACACAGTACCACACACAGGCTCGGCAAACAGTATAGTGTGCCACGGCCCCTCGCCGGCCTGAGTCAAGAGTGAGATAATAAGGGTGGCATGTACCGGCGGGGCGAGGCTGTGCCAGTGCCACGAAGGCCCCCCCCCCCCCCCCCCCGAAGGCAAACACGCGCGTGCCGTCACCCCGATAACAAAAACGCGTGCCGCGGTAACAAACAAAACAAACCAAACAAACTGTCGTGCGCTCTTTCGCTTGAGTTTTAGCCCTAGGTAGGATGCCGGCCGCCGGATAACTCACTTAAACTTGGTGTCCTGGGAGGGGCGGGGCGGGGCTGAGTCGTTCCCCGCTGTAAAGTTGGCCGGTAAAAGTGTAGCGATCATGAGTCCTGGCCGCCGCCGCCGCCCCCCTCACTCCCCGCGAGCTGTGCGTCCTGCCAGCGCGCGCCACGCGGTCAAGAGGCGCGGGGTATCGCCAGGGGCGGCAGCGCGGCGCGGGGTATTCCCTCCCACGCCATGCTGTAGCGCGGGGTAGTGACGGTGGCACTCCCCCGGCGGCGCGGAGACACCCCGTGCGCCTCGCGAACGGTGCTGCCGCCTGGCGACGTCTGGCGAGCAGCGCGGGAGGGCCATGGCAACAGGGGGAGAGCGCCGTGGCCGTAGGCACGCCGAAGGCGAGGAGGCAGCGCGGCGTGGCGGGCTGGCCTACCCTGGACCTGGCGGGCGTTCCCCACTGCAGTGCCCGCCGCGTCCCGCCCAGCCCACCGTGTCTACCCGCCCGGCCCTGCATTGTTGGTTGACGCGTACGCCCCCGCATACGCCGGGCCGGATCGCATTGCTCCGCCTATCACGTTTCAGTTCAGGCGTCAGGCGGTCTCAGAGCCGCAGACACGGATCCGCGGGCCTCCTGCAAACGGCCCAAGGCCTCGCCTGGAACGGCGTAGGTACCGCTCCGCACGCCGCGCACGCCCACGCAGGCCGTCACGCTCGAGCCGAGCAGCGCGGCACGGCCGCCTTATCGCGGCCACGCTCCATCCCCCTCTCTCGCACCTATGAGGCACAGCGACGAATGACTGCCGGTTAAGCACGCCTACCTTTGATGAAGTCGACCGCCATCTCCAGGCCGTGGGTGTCCTTGTCGCAGTCGTCCAGGATGTGCGCGCCCAGCTTGATGCCCGGCAGGATGGTCTGGTCCGCGTTGATCCTGTCCAGCGTGTACAGCATGGCCTCCAGCGCCTGGATGCCGCCCTGGACCAGTCAAGACAACCAACTTTAGTGGCTCTGTCTCTCGCACCCTCGCGGCGGGCCCCGTGAGTGCGAGAGAGAGACGCCCCACCTGCGGCATGATGGGGCCGCACGAGATGCGGTCGTGGCGCTCGTGCACCATCATGAGGCCGCCGAGGACGAGGTCGCCCTCCACGACGGCGGCCAGCTTCATGGGCCAGCCGTGCAGCGTGCCGTTGGCTGACCCGTTGGCGACGTGCTCGTCGTCGTCCAGGTGCACGGCGTGCATGGCGTTCGCCAGCGGCGGCGCGTCCAGGATCAGGGGCTCGGCGGGCTGCTCCAGGGACTGCACCGAGGAGGCCGCGGCGCTGGCGCCAAGGTCGGCGGTGCGGTCCAGCGCCTGCAGGCCGTGCGGGGGCGGCTCCGTGTCGTCCGCCTCCTGCGGCACAAGGAAAGGGAAACACCGAGAAGGTTAATGCCGAAGGGCGCCGCGCACTGGCAACTCACTTTGCGAGTCCGCTCGAGTTACCTCGTGGTTCCCGCGCCGCAGCTTCTGCCTGAGAAGCAGGATGGCGTCCTTGGCCGCCTTGCGCTTGTTGAAGACAACCTGCGCGTACTCCTGCTGCGGCTCGTCCGCCATCATGGCCTCCGGCTCCACCGTGGCGGCCTCGCGTCGCGGCGCCTCGCTCCAGACGCCACGCAGCGCCTCCAGGGTCTCCAGCGGCGCCAGCGACGCGTTCCACCCCGACTGCTCGGCTGCGTTCCAAAAGTCCACGCCGTCGGGGCCGCCGGTCGCGTTGCCCAGCGTCGTCGCGTTCCAGTCGGCCTCCGTGGCGTCCGACGCGTCCGGCGCGTCCGCCGAGGCGGTCGGGTCCACGCTGGCGGCCACCTGGAGCAGCATGGCGGCCGCCAGTAGCTGGAACCACCACGACGACCGCGGGTAGCGCTTCAGCCCCCGCGGGCTGCGACGCCTGCGACGCCTGCGACCGCACATGACCGCACCACGGCGCCCCGGGTCCGCGAGCCCGGCGCCTCGTCGCCTGCAAGCAGTCGGGAAAGACCAAGAGTTTCATTTCGGGCTCGTGTCCCACAGTGTGCCAGAAGACCGGTGGAGGCGGTCAAAACCCCGGTCGCATTTTGAGCTCCAGATTCGCTAAATAGGACTCGAACCGAACGTGTGACCCCACCAATGGATTCCTCGTTCGGAGAGCAATCCATTGGTGGGGTCACACGTGGTTCGAGTGCCATTCAGCGACTCTGGAACTCAAAACGCGTCCGGGATTTTGACCGCCTCCACCGGTTTTCAAGGCCACTGTGCGCCGCGCGCCGTGAAAAAGACTGGAAGTGACGAGTGACTCAGCCTAACCTAACCCCCGGAAAACGACGGCACTCTCTTCGCAGTGCACCTTGGCGGGGCGGGGGAGGAGGCACTCGGACCTAATCTGGGGTAAAATTGCGTTGCCTTGCCGCGAGGCTAGCAAGCCGCCAGGCCGCACCCCGCCGCGCCCCGCAGCAGGGCGCAGACAGACCGAAGGGAGACGAAGACGCCAGTCGGCCCGGCCAGCCACGATAAGGACTCAATCTAGATAGGGATCCACCAACGACGGACGCGGTTTTGTATGTAAAGGAAAACATCCCCGGTTTTGTTATCGTTGTCATTTTCCTGTCCCGTTTCTGCGTGGTCTCTGCCCGGGTGGATTGTTGACCTTTTCCCGATGTCTATTTTTACACTCCGCGCACAGCTGTGGGCGGGAGTTGTTCATTTCTCCTACCTAAATGTTCGCCTACCTGTCTATTTCGCCTACCTATATTTCGCCTACCTAATAAAAATATTGAATAAAAATATTCAATAAAATATTGCCATTTTTCGCCTACCTATAGTTCGCCTACCTAATAAAAAAATTAAATAAAAATATTCAACAAAAAACGAAAAAATCGGCGGCAAAAAGTGGCAATACGAAAGTCTCAAGGAGACCCGCCGATCAGCTTCGGTGTTCTTATGGGAACCGGGCCTTCATCCGACGCTCCCTGCCGCGCAATTCGACAGATTAGTGGGTTCGTATTGGGCTGGCCCACCCGAAGTGCGCGCGGTTTCTGTGGTACAGTGAGAGTCCAGATTCAGAGGCCTTACCTCAGAGGGGTCACATTGGGTATTTGAACCCGCGACCCCGAGTGCCGAGTCTAGTCAACTCCTCTACCCTGACCGCTCAGCCACCGAACCAGCTTGTCGGCGGCGATGTCGCAACTCCTCTTGAGCTGCCGTTCGAGAAATCTGGTCCCGAAAAAATGGTACTTTGAGCGGTCTCGAACCCGGGACCTGCCGCTTCCCACATCATGCTCTTAACCACTGAGCCACCGGGACGCCATGGCACACGCCCTGCCTGCGCTGGTACTCAATCTTCTCTGGATATACCTCCCCAAGGTCGCCGAAAAAATTTTGTATACTACCGGTCCCGAACCCGGGACCTGCTGCTTCCCACATCATGCTCTTAGCCACTGAGCCACCGGGGCACCATGGCACCCGCCCTGCCTGCGCTGGTACTCAATCTTCTCTGGATATACCTCCCCGAGCAATTGGTCGCCGAAAAAATTGTGTATACTACCGGTCCCGAACCCGGGACCTGCCGCTTCCCACATCATTCTCTTAACCGCTGAGCCACCGGGACGCCTTGGCACCCGCATTGCCAGCGCTGGTACTCAATCCTCTCCGAATAAACCTCGTCAAGAAGTCGGTTGCCTCTGCCGAAAAATATGGTCATGGTACTAGTAAAGAGGTTTATTCGAGAGATGAGTACCAGCGCTGGCAATCGCGGTGCCACTGGGTCGTGCTCAGCGGTTAGAGCATGATGTGGGAAGCGAGCAGGTCCCGGGTCGGACCGGTAGTATACACAATTTTTTCGGCGAACAAGCTCGGGGGTATATCAGAGAAGATTGAGTACCAGCGCAGGCAGGGCGGTGTCATGCTCCCGGTGGCTCAGTGGTTAAGATGCATGGTGGGAAGCAGGCAGGTCCCGGGTTCGGACCGGTAGTATACAAATTTTTTCGGCGACCAATATCCAGAGAAGATTGAGTACCAGCGCAGGCAGGGCGGGTGCCATGGCGTCCCGGTGGCTCAGTGGTTAAGAGCACGATGTGGGAAGCGGCAGGTCCCGGGTTCGAGACCGCTCAAAGTACCATTTTTTCGGGACCAGATTTCTCGAACGGCAGCTCAAGAGGAGTTGCGACATCGCCGCCGACAAGCTGGTTCGGTGGCTGAGCGGTCAGGGTAGAGGAGTTGACTAGACTCGGCACTCGGGGTCGCGGGTTCAAATACCCAATGTGACCCCTCTGAGGTAAGGCCTCTGAATCTGGACTCTCACTGTACCACAGAAACCGCGCGCACTTCGGGTGGGCCAGCCTAATACGAACCCACTAATCTGTCGAATTGCGCGGCAGGGAGCGTCGGATGAAGGCCCGGTTCCCATAAGAACACCGAAGCTGATCGGCGGGTCTCCTTGAGACTTTCGTATTGCCACTTTTTGCCGCCGATTTTTTCGTTTTTTTGTTGAATATTTTTATTTAATTTTTTTATTAGGTAGGCGAACTATAGGTAGGCGAAAAATGGCAATATTTTATTGAATATTTTTATTCAATATTTTTATTAGGTAGGCGAAATATAGGTAGGCGAAATAGACAGGTAGGCGAACATTTAGGTAGGAGAAATGATATAGACTCCTGTGGGCCGCGGGCGCTGCGGGCTGTGGCGGTGCGCCCGCTCCGTTCCGCAGAGAGGTGCGATCGACAGGTTCCGAGAAAAGCACCGCTTTACAATGGGGACAAAGAAATAATGGCGACCGCCATCGCACGGCCGCGTGAAAAGGGAGAGAGGGCCAAATCGTGCCGATGGATATCGAAATGAAAAGCTTTCCCGTGTAACCCCCGGGTTCTTAAAAAGCGCAAGGGGGGAAGGCAACCGCCAAAGAAATAATAAATAATGTGCTGTGCGAACTCACTCAAGACGCCGTCAGGACACCATGGCAGCAGGCGCAGCAGGGGTCCTCTGTCCTGCGGAGCAACAAGCAGGAAAGGTTGATGAGAAAAATGGGCGACGTTTGACAGTGACTGCGGCAATAAGCCGCGGGCGATACGCCTGGAGCGCCTGGAGCCGGGCGGCCTTCATTATTCATCGCGCTGCCCACTCAGGCAAGTTCCAGGCAAGTTCCAGGGAAGTTCCAGGGAATACCACGGAATTCCAGGAGACTCCTGGACACGCCAGGCACGCTGCAGGGCCTCCCCAGAACAGGTGAGAAAAAAATGACTAGATTGCCAAGCGCTAGAGCAAACTTGTTTTAAAAACGGGTCCTGAAAATACCGGGAAGAAAAATAGTGCCTCTGTGGGCGGTATTTTTCTCTCGGCACAGCAGCGTGGCACCGTCTCCGGTTCTTCATCGCGCCGGGCGGGGAATCCAATATTATCGAATTGCGATCTGGGAGTGTTAGGCAAACGCAACGCCCTGGCTCGGCCGACAGGTAATCAGGGCTCTCTTCACTGCCGTTTTTCCTTGGATGGGAACAAGAGACAGAAGGCCGTCCCTCTCGCACTCAGGGGTTGTCCGGCCGGGTGCGAGAGAGACGGAGCACGACGCAGGCACTGTCCAGACCCAGCCCGCCGCCACGCCGTCCTCGTCTCGCCGCAATCAAGTTCCAGAGGCGCGAGGCGCCACGGCGCGCCACGGCCGTGGACTGTTTGCCCGAGCGTTTCCAGTGGCCCAGTCGCTCCAGAGCGTCCAGTCCGGAGCGTCTCCAGCAGCGTTCAAATATTCATCCGGACTCGAACACACCCGGCGCGCGACCTCCCCCCCTCCCGCCTCCTCCCCTAATCGCAGCAATGTCCACCCCCGACCCCGCCGCCGTCTCAGGCCCAGGACCTGTTCCCTGTTTACACGGCAACTTTGAATCCCTCGGGGGGAAAGAAACGTCGTTCCGGAATTCAAAGCAGAACGCATTTCATAGCCGAGACTCCTTTTTGGTCCCCGCTGCCGCCGGGTTCCCGCCGGGCCCTTTGCTGCGACGCTCATCCTTTACTTTTGCATCCCCTTTCAGCAGACGCTGCTTTGTCCCATCGGTCCCGCACTCGAAAACGAAATGGATTCCATTATTTATTTTATCTTAATTTCTTTCCGACTGTTTGTACTTTCTGGGTCGACACTGCCTGTACAGTACATCAGCGCGTTCTCTCATCACACCAACCAGATTTT